CGGGTCGGGTTTTTGCTAAACCCGAAAATTACCCGTAAGCTAAGGTCTCGGATTATGAAAATTAGCGGCTGAAACAAAACTCATTACATTCGGCCCGAGTCAGGTTTTTGGTAGCTCGGGTTCGGTCCGGGTTCGAGTTAGGCCGGTTAAAGCCCAAACGTGAAATCATTCTATTGTCCTTTTATATTTTAAAACATATTTTTAAAATAAAATTATTCAAAAATACAAACTGTAAATAATTACACAAATATTAGTCTCCACAAACGCCAAAAATTCAAATCTAAAGAAGATAATTGTCTTAATATTTTGTTTAAGATGCATAGAAAGATATAATTTTTTTAAAAATATTATGAAAAAAACTTATGAAAAAATGTGAATAAAATTACTATAAATATATTTTCATGGTCATTACGGTATACTACCTCCGTTCTTAAATAAATGCAACATGTTGAATTTTACACTATTCACGTGTTGTACTTTGACTACGTTTTTTAAATTAATGTATTGATATTTTTTTATGAAAAAAATATTGTTAAATTTGTGTCATTGCATGTAAATTTTCAAAATTTAATTTTTTAAATTTTTTACTAATACGGAATTATATATATTAATTGAAATGTGAAATGTTGACCATTGCATCTATTTAAGAATAGAGGAAGTACAAATTGTACATATTTGTAATCACTAAAAGTTTTAAGTCAGATTTTAATCCACAATGGTTATAATTATATATTACGAATTATTTGTAAATTATATTCATATACGTAGTATTACATTGATTTTATACTAAAGCTAATTGTTTCGGGTTTTTATTGGTCGGGGCGGGTTATATATTTTAGGGATTGTTTGTGAGCCCAAATTTTCGCGTTCGGTCCGTTTTTTTTTTTCATTCGAGCCTGTTAGAATTTAGAAAGAACAACCCCGGGATGGGAACATCATTTGGGTCGGGCAAGGGTTGGTTTCTGGGTTTCGGATCGGTTTTTTCCACCCCTACTTTTAGGCCCTTTTCTCCAATCATATCAAATGATTGGTAGAATTGAACCCACTCTACAACTTACATCTTTAGCTAATGCCAAAATAATAGCAACCAACTTTTGCAATCCTGAGCAAAAAAGTTCAATGCCAAAATGCTTTTGCGTCCTTCCTCAATACTCTATCTTTTTTTTGAAGCACCTCAATACTCTATATCTAATTGTATTCGAACTACATATTATTTCCATATGTTTTTTTAAAGAAGATATTTCCATATGTTCTATTCATCGTAATCCATATTTAGAGGTAGACTTAATGGGATACTTGAAATTCAAAGTTCCTAAAAAAACATGCATTGTACTGAAAAAGATTAAAAGATTCAAAGTTCCTAGAAAACATTAGTATTTATATACGTATTAGACATTTCTCGCTATGTTTACAATACTTTTTCTTGTGAAATTGGGAAAACATGGTCTAACCCTTTTGTGGGCGTGCATTTTTAATTTTATTCGGCCATCTTTTATGAATCATGACGAAAGAATGTTAAATACTCTATTTCTAAGTAAAGACTAATGTTAACATGTCTCATACTAAAAGTAATCTTATCAAATCAACATACAGTATACATATTTTCCAACAAAATCACATTGGGCACCTATTTTATCGCGCAACGCGCGAGTAGAAAACTAGTCAAATATATAAAACTGAATGTGATCAAGTACATATATCTCTAAAAAGTGATTGTCGCTAGGACATGTATACTAACAATTCGTAACCCAAGGCATTGGTCTTGTACAGGGGATAACGGAGAAACTAATAGAGAAAAACACCATCGGGTCGAATTTGGTGATATACATGGAGAAGGAAATATTTACTAAAATTGACAATGAAGCAATTTTGCAACATTTTCAACATATGCAGACACGCCGCACATAATGCACTCTTCTCACATTTTTTATATTTTGTAAACTTTAATTACAATTTATATTTTTGCATAATTTTATTTTTATATTCTTACAATTTATATTTTATACTCTCTCCGTCCCATTGGACTTTGCCAACTTTCCCTTTTTGGTTGTCCTAAAAAACTTTGTCACTTTCTCATTAAAGCAACTAATTTGTGGTTCTGCACATTTCTCTCTCCTCTGCACAAATCTCAACCATATAGTTTTTATTATTCTTATTTCTTAACTACTTTGCACTAGGCAAAGTCCACCGAGACGAAGGTAGTAATATTTTTAGTCACCCCTTACTTTTTGTTTTGGTTCTGCTACCGCCTATAAGTACTCATGTACATATCTTGTAAAAGAAGAGTATCTCCAGATAAATAATATTGTTACTAATATATTTCCTATCAATGAATATTTGATAGATGAAGCTCTTCTCGCGAGAATTATATTCCATCAACCAAAATGCCTTAGATTCTTCTTGAGACCTAGTTAATAATTTAGCTTTGCAAAATGCATTTTACTGGATTCATTATTATACGGATTATAGTGCTTATATGATCATAGAATACATTCATATTCCTAGAGTTCTAAGCAAACAATGTAATACCATGATAATTCTACATTCAATCAGTAATTTGAGTTAATATATCCTCAAACATTTTCATTTTGACAGATTTAGTCATTGAAATCATGACAAAGATGAGATCATGGGCTTTCTCATTGACAAAAATAAGATCAAAAGTTAGTATGGACAAAAAAGAGACCAGATCAAACTGAAACCCCTAAAATGCCCCCCCAAATCCCTAAGCTAAAAGTCTGGATTCGTCTGTTTTCTCGTCGTCTCCTTTGAAGGTCTTTGCGAAGGTTTTCTGTCTTGCCATCATCAGGGGCGGATCCAGGATTCTGAGATGTCCTGGGCTGAATAGGAATTATACTAGGCTTGAATATTAGCGGGATGGGTTAAATATGAGAAATAAAAAATTTTACACTAAAACAAATGAAAAACTTCTAAGTTGCCCTGAGCTTCAGCCTACCATAGCCCGTACATAGATCCTCCCCTGGTGCCCATGATCATCGTCGGTCTCGTCCTCATACTCGGACAGGCGTCCAACGCTTCGTCCTCATATTCAGACAAGCGTCTAACGCCTCGTCCTCTTATTCAGACATACATTCAACGCCTCGTCCTCATATTCAGACAGGCGTCCAACGTCTCGTCCTCATATTCAGACAGTTGTCCAACGCCCCGTTCTAATATTCAGACCGGCTCATCAGCATCGTCGTCCACACATTTGGACAGGCGTCTAAAATGCGGTGTTCTCATATTCAGATCTAGAGGACTTCTTGTGGTATTCGACCGAAAGGTTAAAGGAGCCCAGATCATAGCTCATTTACAGGCCCATCGGCCATATCTTGCTCCGTCATCTTTATTTGATGACAAGAGACTCATCTATAGGCCCCTCAGCCATATATCGCTATGTCATCTTTATTTGATGACGAAGAGCTCATCTACAGGCCCATCGGCCATATATCGTTCCGAGTCGTGTGACATCTTTATTTGATGACGAAGAACTCATCTATAGGCCTCACAGCCATATCTCGCTCCGTCATCTTTATTTGATGACGCGAAGCTCATATGTAGGCCCGTCAGTCATACATCACCCCGTCATCTTTATTTGACGACATGAAGCTCTTATACAGGCCCCTCGGCCATTCATCGCCCCATCGTCTTTATTTGACTGCGTGGAGCTCTCATATAGGCCCTTCGGCCATTCATTGCCCCGTCGTCTTTTTTTGACGACGTGGAGCTCCCATATAGGCCCATCGGCCTTATATTCTAATCATCTTTATTTGATGAACCAGACATCATATTATGGACGGCCGCTCGACCCATCCATGAGTCATCTTTTTTTGATGATTAGGACTCCTGATCATGACGAGCTACCCACACCTAGAGATCGGCCTTAGCCATGCCCTTAGCAGACGGATACCGCTGCAACTCCATTGCTAGGCCGAAGGGCTTACACCTTTTAATTTGCTTCATTTTGGGGGGCATCCGATGTACTCTTTTTCCCCCATTAGAATTTTTTCCCACAGGTTTTTTCCTAATGAGGTTTTTAACGAGGCATCTCCCCATTGTGGATCAAAAGGTGTCAACCCTTGCCCCCTATGGAAGACATGCATTACTCTACTTTTCTTCACCTCGTTACACTCACCTCAAGGAGTGGGAGATTGGGAGAGTGGGGGACTTAACGCCTCCACAATCGAAAAACACAAACTCAAAATTTTCGAAAGTTTTGCCACACGCACTGACGACATCATCAGATCACATACAGATTCGGCTGCCACATCAGCTAGTACATATACACAGTTCCCCGCCAATGGCTTAGGAATCCGGGTGAGGCGCTTCGGCAATGACAACGTCTTACTCACCAGATTAGGACAGATCAGCACACAGTTCTACTCTCTTTCGCCTCGAGTACTCTCGACTCAGAGAGTGGGGAACTCCTGATAGAGTTTATAGACTCGGGCCCCGGATATCACGACTATTGAGCCCTGAAAGCAGTCCACATATGCTCTGTAGATAACATTTATTTCCTTGTACACTATATTTATTCATATATATCCTTTAAAAAATTCAATACCATTTTATTAGCCATTTATTGTAACTGGGCCTTCCACGCCCAAATCTGGAGCCCAACCCACTTTTCTCTTATAAATACCCCTATGGGAGCCATGTAAATGGTTGGAGGTTGGAAGATGGAAATTCATTTACACATGTCATTTTATCTCTCTAGCTCTCCATTCTCTGTAGATCAATAGTCTATCAAGAACCTTTAAATGAGATAATCAAATAAAGAATGTGAAAACTTTTTAACGATAGAGAAAAGTACTCCCCATAAAACTTTTATTTTACCAAACACTACCAATTTTTACTTTTCAAAATGACTTTTTTATCAAACACTATCAACTTTTATTTAATCACTTCTCCCCATTTAATTAGAAAAAATACTTTTTTAAAGCACAAGCAGTTGCAAACAGACCCTAACTCAAACTCATTTGTTTTGGGCTCACCCCAGCCCATTGATTATCCATACACAGTCCCATCTCCCTGCAGGTCAGCAAATCAGCGCCGAATCGATCTCGCCTCCCCATCGCTCTTGCCTTTCTGGTTTGTTTTATTATTTCCCTTTATTTTCAGATTTCAGATCCATTCGTTTGTCGAGCCTAATCTGCTCACAGGTACCAGGATAATTCTGTTGGGGCAGTCTTTTCTGTGCGGTTTGTGCAAGAGCGATATCTAATTTAGGGTAGATTTTGTTTTATCATTTTTATCCTTTATGCGCATATTTGAATTTGTATCTTTCACTGCTTAAGGTGCAAGAACAACGTTATCTCTTGACGTGAGTGACTCAGAGACAGGTGCAAAGGGAATGGAGCAACCGGAATCCGTAGTTTCTGGCCAACACGTTGGTGTAGAAAGCAACGGTATGAAGAGAAGCTGCAATGATACCGCAGAAAGCAGCAATGAGAAGAGACAATTAATCTCGGGTAGCGTCTTAAATAGTAAGGAAGAGACACGCCAATTCATAGAGAAGCTGAAGAAGGTGGATGTTCATATGTATGTGTTCCGGAGGGAGAAGTTCAAGTGCCCCCCAGTACATGATAGGCTGACACGCTCATTACAGAGCAGCTTTGACAAGACTGAGAAAATGGGGTGATTCTCATTTTAATTCCTCAAAGATTGTACTTATTTCTTTTGTATGTTGATTATTATTTGCACCTTATTCTTTGTGTGTCTTCTTGTATTAGGAATCCAATTGAGGGGATAGACTTGGGAAGTGTGAAGCATTTTAGCTATGATAAGGTGATTGATATCATTGGCGGTTTTTCAGAGAAAAACTATGTAAAAGACGTCTTATTTGCCTGACTATACAGAGGAAAGATTGATGAACGGTCAGGCCCTCAGGATGTCATTGTTAAAAAATGGAATTTCTACTTTCCGCTTGATTGCTGGATTGAGGGAAATCCAACTTATTTTGCTGTAAGTGAGCTTATAAATCGTGACTCTGTTTACATATTTCTTATCATGCAATTTGAAGTTAATCTAAATGGATTGTGTGGTTTGCTATTTGTGGCGTTGCAGTGGCTCCTTGAATTTATGCTCGACCCGCATTTCTCGTCACATCCTAATATAGCGAAGTTGATCGGGTTCTCATGTGACAAGACATTTGCTCTTGTTTATGATGTGAACCTAAAACATACTCTATGGGATCTCATTCCTCTTCGTACGTGGCCCTCTCACATGAGTAGTTGTATATTTTGGTTGATGTCATGATTTTATTATTATCTTTTTCATGTTCTCATTCATATGTACCTTCTCTTGGAAAGCTCGGATGAAAGTGGCAAAGCAAGTTGTTGAAACCCTACAGTTCTTTCACCAACGAAGAATAGCATTTTGCACCTTTGCTGCGCCCAACATTAGTGTTGATGAGGTGGGATTGATTCCCTTTTCCCTCGCACTGCATGTATATGTCTAGTGTAACGAAGTTTAGCATTCATTTGAACTACTCTCTGCCACTCAATGCAGGATTACAACATAAAATTGTTCGAGTTTGGTCGTTCTGTGATGGTTGCAAATGAGGATAGAATTTGCATAGGAGCATACAATTATTTTTCCACGGAAGCTCTTTGTAAGATACTACGTATTTCAGATTTGATAAATGATATATGTGGCTGTGCACATATGTGTGGAATATATGCTGGTTTAGTCCCCTAACTTTATGTCTAATATTAGCTATGTTACTCTATTCACATTAAGCAATATTTTATAACAGATCATGTCCTATGAGCATGAACTTTGTCAACATTAAAGACATTTCCACCAAAATGTACTGTTTACATACTTGTTACGGCGTCGCCTAGGCGCCGACTAGGCGTCCAGTCGCTAGAAAGGGGTCGCCAAGAGCCGTCGCCTCACCGGAAGAAGAATAGGCGACTATGGCGTCCTCCTGTCGTCGTTTAGTCGTCCGTTTGGCGATAAGGCGTCCGCCTTAGCGCACATAACAGAGTAACCTTTCGCATTCCAAACTGAAGGCCCAGATTTAGTTTTTGGAAACAAAGTTTTAGACAACTAAAATAAAGCCCAAATCTTACTTGACCATTCGTAAACTCAACCTTCGTCGCATACCACTCCCGTCGCAGCCTCGCGGGAAAGGAGTCTAGCATCTGACATCGCTCCCAGGTTTTATGGGTTAATCTGGTGATTTACTACTGCAAGTGGACAAGTGTTCTTTTTTGGCAGTGGGAAGTGGCCTAGTGGGACTCAAAAGAAATCTTATACTATGTATTATATATATATATGTATATGTATATTAATTTACTTCGTATATAGCAGATCTTTTATAAAAATGTAGGTTCTTCTTTGTTGTGTTTCATAAACATATTTTTATAGCAATTTATTTAGTATATTAATATATTCAGATTTTAGATTGAATAATACAGTAAATAATGTGCACTTATGATAGATAATAACTTACAAACCAAATGTAATCAAATAGAATATTATATATAATTATATATATGTAATTGTTAGATAGACTTATAGATAGTCGGTTATAAGTTGTTAGTTTGTTCTTAATTTTGTTTGACTTAGTTAGTCAGTTGAGCTGAGCTTTGTATGACATGGCAAGTCTATAAATACCTTGTGTCATCTTCTTCAATCAACAGGATCAGTTTACATTTCTTCCATTCTATTTTCTAATATGGTATCAGAGCTTTGCTCGATCCATCAATGGTGACCACTTCAGATTCAACTTCCAATTCTACTGGAGCATCTCCGACTCCAGTAACTTTCACACATCCTCTTCCAGTAAAGCTAGATTCCACGAACTATCTTTTCTGGAAACACCATGCTGAATCGGTTGTTCGTGCTCTAAACTGCTTCGTTTTCTGATCAAACCTGCAATTCCAGTTCGTTTTCTCAGTCGCGAAGATGAGAACAATGGAATTGAGAGCGAAGCTTACATCATTTGGGAACAGCAAGATCAAATGTTATTCTCATGGCTTCTGGCGTCTCTGTCTGAAACATTTCACGCTAGGGTTATTCACTGCAGACATTCGCATCAGCTATGGACTGAGATCAACAAATACTTTCAAGCGCACATCCTTGCTAAAGCACGACAACTCAAATCGCAAATCGGAACTGTATAATACCTCTAAAGGTGATCGATCGATATTTGCCTATCTTCTTCGCATCCAAAATATTGTGGAAAACCTAACTGCTATTGGAGAACCTATCTCAGTCAGAGATCATGTCAATGTCATTCTGGAGGGACTTCCTGAGGAATATGAATCCCTAGCTTCGTCCATATCCTCACGAAGTGTTCTGGATCCTGTTTCTCTTTCAGAAGTTGAATCATTGCTATCTGCCAAAGAAATGCGCCTACAGAAACTTCGCGATTCCTCACAGCAAACCTTAACCTTATTCTCTGCAAACATTGCTACAACGGAGACATCTTCTCAAAACAGAGTCTAATTCTCAAGTGTCTGCAGATAATTCTTCAAATAATGTCCGTACAACTTGCTCAGTTCAACAATTCTGACAACCACTCATACAGAGGTAGAGGTCGTGGAAACTTTGGCAGAGGTCGAGGTGGTGGTCGCTCTGGTGGAAGAAATGCTGTTGTTTGCCAAGTCGGTGGCAAAAGTGGACACCATGCTCTAATATGTCACCATCGATTTAATCCAGCCTACACTGTATCTAATCCGTACTCACAAAACTCAAGCCAATCCTTCAACCAATACTCACCAAGGCCACCATCATACAATCCAAATCCTTCAATGCCAATGCCACCTACACAGCCTGCCAGCTGGAATCAACAACCCTATAATCCTTCATACTACAATTCATCTTATCCAGCATTACAATCATCCTAATCATCCTGTATCATCCAATCCTTCACCCAGTGCTCATTGGGCTCATTAAGCCTGTGCTACTCCATCAATGCTACTCCATCAATACTGGGACCTGCACCTCAATCTCAGACCTGGTTCCCTGATTCTGGTACTACACACCATGTCACAGCTGATCCTCTTAATTTGCAGCACAGTGAGACAGTTGCTCTTACAGACAAGCTCTTTATGGGCAACGGCCAAGGTGTGGACATTAAATCTATAGGTTTTTCTACTTTTCCTTCTCCCTATCAATCATCTCTTCAGCTTTCCCTTACTAATATCCTTCATGTTCCTTCAATTACTAAAAACCTTCTTAGTGTCAGTCAGTTTGCAAAAGACAATAAAGTTTTCTTTGAGTTCCATCCTTATGACTGCTTTGTCAAATCTCAGGTTTCTAAGCGAATTCTCTTACATGGTTTCCTTGGAGAAGATGGCCTTTACAAGTTTTAGTCCATTCCCCTTCAACCTGTCCAGTCTGTTGCACCAGTTCAGTGTGCCAATGTTGCATCATCATCATCTAATAGTGTTTTACAGTCTTGTAATAAGTACAAATCTTGTAATGTTTTTCAAGTTTGTAATCTGTGGCACTTAAGACTAGGTCATCCTCATTATGAGGCCCTAAAGTCTGTTCTCCAATTGTGTAATATCTCACATATCAATAAAAATAGTGTTGATTTTTGTTCTGCATGCTGCCTTGACAAAGCTCACAGATTATCATCATCCAACTCTACAACTGTTTTCAATTCACCATTTGAACTCATATTCACTGATTTGTCGGGGCCTGCACCTATCACCTCATTTGATGGTTATACATATTATATCTCCTTTATAGATGCCTGTACTAGATACACCTGGCTCTATTTTCTCAAAAAGAAATCTGATGCTCTTGCCTTCACTAACTTCTATCAATATATTCTAAATCAAATCTCTGTTTCCATCAAATCTATACAATCAGATTGGGGAGGTGAGTTCAGATCATTTACAACATTTCTGTCTGAAAAAGGAATTACTCATACACTCATTTGCCCACATACACACCATCAAAATGGAGTGGTTGAACGCAAACACCGCACCATTGTTGAAAAGGGACTGTCCCTTCTTGCTCACTCATCTCTCCCACTTAAATTCTGGGATGCAGCAACATTTGCTACTGCTGTTCATCTAAGTAACAGAACACCTTCAAAATCCATTTCCAACTCCAGTCCCTATTTCAAACTTTATGGCTCCATTCCAGATTACTCCTTCTTAAAAGTGTTTGGATGCTCTTGCTATCCATTCATACGTCCATATAATAAGCACAAAATGGACTTTCATTCTGAGGAGTGTGTGTTCTTAGGCTATTCCTCCAATCACAAAGGTTATAAATGCTTATCACCCTCTGGTAAGATATACCTCTCTCGAGATGTAACTTTTCAGGAATTCAAATTCCCTTACAACACTTTGTTTTCCTCCTCACACTCCACAGATAAACAACCTGCCCTCACTCATCCTACTCACTCATCTTACTGTCTTCCATCAAGTTCACTCACCTTTTTTCAATCCAAGTCAGTCCTCTTCACCTACATCATCCAACTCTACTTCACCTTCAGATCAAACTCCTCCTTCTCCAAATGAGTCATTCAAATCAAACCCCACCTCAAATACACCACATTCTTCACCCAATTCATCCCAATCAGATTCCAATCATTTTGATACACAACCATCAACTTCTGCTCATCCTGACAATCATAATGTGACAATCATAATGTGTGATCGCAGTTATCTGATTCCCCTGGTGCAACATCTACTAATAATGTCTCCAATTCTTCTTCCACTGCTCCATTAGTTCCTCTGACTAACACTCACCCTATGAGGACTAGAGCCAAATCAGGAATAGTAAAACCTAGACTTAATCCCACCCTTCTGTTAGCTCATATTGAACCTTGTTAGACATAGATTCTAGAATAGCCGATTATACTTAAATGTAATAGTCGTGCTGTTAGTCTGTTAGAGTCGGTTAGTGTTTGTTAGTTGTTCAACCTAACCGATTCTATATATACCCTGTATTGCTGCTTCAGAACATTAATGATAATAAACTTCTACTCCATTTCCTCCTGTATGATTTCTATTATGGTATCGGAGCTCTAGCTCGAATCCATGGTGACCTCAGATGATTCTTCTCATTCTACTTCCAATTCTGGCAATTCAAGTTCTCCTGTAATATTCACACATCCATTACCGATCAAACTTGATGCTAACAATTTCCTCTTCTGGAAGCATCACGTTGAATCGGTTGTTTGAGCACATAAACTCCTTCGGTTCATTGTTAAGCCTCAAATTCCAAAGGAATTCAACTCAGATTCCGATGAAGCAAATGGAAATGTCAATGCACCTGGGAGCAACAGGATCAGCTACTGTTTTCGTGGTTGCTTGCATCGCTTTCTGAGTCGTTTCATGCTTGAGTCATTCACTGCAGATACTCGCATCAACTATGGACTGAGATCAACAGTTATTTCAAGTTGCAAATCCTTGCTAAAGCCAGACAGCTCAAATCCGAGTTGTATAACACTGCGAAAGGAGATCGATCCATTTCTGAATATCTCCTTCGCATCCAAACTATTGCTGACAATTTGCTATCCATCGGAGAACCTATCTCAGCAAAGGAGCACATCAATGTCATACTCGAAGGCTTACTTGAAGAATATGAATCTCTTGCTTCTTCGATCTCATCACGAAGTCCTTTGGATCCTCCTACCCT